TTGAAAAGTTCAGAGGTAAATAATGCAAAAAAAAATCATATTTTGACCCTAAAATCTAAAAATAGTGAACCCAACCAATCAGTCAATGTTAAATTTAGACACATCAATAATTTAGCTTTATTGGAAGAGGCAAACTCTTACGTGGTCTTAAAGTTCATATTCATTTTATGTATCTTCGTACCTACATTGATATCATAAAAAAATTTGGCCTTTTGCAAAAAAAAAAGATCTTTTCACGAATTTATGATAAGTGTGAAAATATTCATATTTTACATGTGGAGCTTAGAAAACGGAAGATCATTTGGTTATGTCCAAGCTGGATACATATTTGATTATTAAAATTCATTTAGTACTCCCTCCGTCCTATAATGATCTTCCCGATCCGCAAAACGAAAAAAAATCCCAAGTTTTTTCAATCTATTTTATTTAAATATTGGTATAGAAATAAAAAATAAAACATACATATTTAAAAACTACATCAAAAATTCAACAAAACAAGTGGTGACAAGAATATTTTATTTTATCATATAAGCCATGAAAAAACACAAATAAATATAAATTCCCGTGAAGTTGGAATAGTGCTCTGGGAAGATCATTATAGGACGGAGGGAGTATGACTTAAAAATTTAAAACTAGACAAATATACCGAGACATAGAGATTAATTAAGAAAGAGAATAATAAAGAAAGTAATAATGTTTACAAATAAATACGAGTAGTAGTCGCAATGAAATGTATTAGTATGACACACATTAACACATGGAAGATACAACAATAATCTGGATCCAACATTATTTAATTAGAAATTAAAATAAATTACCACCTTGACCTTAAATGGTCAAACGATGCTAGCTGATTAATCTCGATCTCTGTTTCTTTTAGGCTGTTTTTACGGATGCATATAGACAATACTCCGTATTATAATTATTAATTACTATTACAATTAAAACTAAACCAATTCAAACCTTGCTAGCTAAATATGTACTATATACTACATAAATTAAATATAGATATATAATTAAATGCGAGAATGGAGACATACCTGAGACAGAACTTCGACGTGGAGGCGAAGAGGCCGTCGGAGGAAGCGCTGAGGAGATGGCGGTCCGCCGTGTGGCTCGTCAAGAACCCCCACCGCCGGTTCCGCATGGTCGCCGATCTCGCCAAACGTGCTCGCGCCCACCGCGATCGCCGCCAAATGCAGGTATATATATATATATATATATATATATATATATATATATATATATATATATATATATATATATATATATATATATATATATATATATCTATATATATATATATATATATATATATATACCGCCTACCTCGCCGATCTCTGAATAATATAGGTCCCGTTTGGCATCAGCGTCAGAGATTAGCGTTAACGTTTTGAAAAGGCTATCTAACGGTAGCTTTTAGCGTTAGCGTTTTCTGAATTAATCTACATAGTAAATATTTTATCCAAAACGCTAATGCTAAATGAAAACGCTCTTCCCAAATAAGGTCATACTCGTAATATCCATTCGCCACTCCCTAGTGGCCCGGCCGGCAAGCAAATATATTATGGCCCCGTTTTGGTATCAACGTTAGAGATTAGCTTTGACATTTTGAAAAATCTATTTGACGGTAGCCTTTAGTATTAGCGTTTTCGGAGTTAATCTACACCGTTAATATTTTATCCAAAACACTAACGTTAATTGAAAACGCTCTTTCCAAACAAGACCTATGTAAATTTATAATTAAACTAAAGACTCATGACCTTAAATATATTACCCCTCCCTCTCAAATAGACTCCCACAATTTGACCTTTTTCGGTCAAATTGTACATTACTTTGTTCATAAATTAAATATAACTTATAATCATTAAATATTATAAAGAATTGATATTTCAAAATTATATTTTAAAATAAACTTAATTTTAATTGAATTTACATTATAAATAAATATTTTTTTAAACAATTTTTGGTCAAAGTATTGCACTGTTTGACCAAAAGAGTCAAACTGTGACAATCTTTTTAGAACGAAAGGAGTATTAAAATTGATAAGGGTTTTCTAATTCAAGCCAAAAGTGACTCAAGAATGACTCAGATATTTTAGACATCTACAATACTCTATTAGTAAATCTAATGAAATCATAATAAAATACTCCGTACATTGTAATTAAGGTTCAAAATTCGAGCAACTGAGTGTCTGATTAACTCACTTCCACATCTGCCGCAAAGGGACCATTGGTGCAACATTTTTAAAAGTTCAGAGGCACTGGTGTAATGTTTTAAAGCTCATGGTGTATTTGCGCAATTTTTAAAAAGTTTAGGAGTAAATGGCGCAAAGAAGTCTAAAAACAATATATACTAAAAGTACTTTTTGATATAAATAATTTGGTATAATTTTAAGGGGAATTTACCTAAATATTACCAAAACATAATGATTTTCTCAAAATAAGATCATATGTTTTTATTTTCCAATGTAGGACCAATGGTTATTATCTATTAGTCATTATTCAAATAAAGGTCCACCATCACTGGACATTATTCTTCCTACTGGACATTATTAAGTTCTATTTAGAAAATAAAAAATTTTAAATCCTACATTGGTAAATTACTTATGTTTTAGTCCTATTTAGTGCAAATTTCACTAATTTTAATTCATTGTATACTTTTATACTCCCTCCGTCCCTTAAACTCCTTCCCTTTTTTTGTCCCACTAACTCCTTCCCGTATCTATTAAAAAACCACTTTTACCTCTTACTTTTTCATACTCTACCTATCACATCGTAAATTTTTACTAATAATCTATCCATCACATTAAGGATATTTTTGAAAAATTAACACTAAAATATCCTCCCTTAATTTCCTAAAAAGTCAATAAGAGAACGACTTTAAGGGACGAAGGGAGTATATAGTTAGTCAAATGTTTGATACACAAAGCGAAACACACAGTTAAAAAGGAAGAGAGTATCAGAGAGGGTTGGGTGGAGGCGGGAACCATCAATTTTTTAAATGGAACACCATATGGACTTTGGGTGATAATATGACCCGAGAACCTAAGGTCAAAAGAACCACATTTCCTAATACTCCCTCCGTCCCGTGAAACATTTCCCCTTTCTTTTTTTATCCGTCCCACAAAACACATCTTATTTCTATTAAAAAGTCACTTTTACCCCTTACTTTTTCATACCCTAACTATCACATCATACCTTTTTACTAATAATCTATCCATCAAATCATACTTTTACCCATCACATCAAAGGACATTTTTGGAAATTCAATACCAAAATACACTCCCTTAAATCTCTCCTAAAAATCAAATGTCCCATGTTTCACGGGACGGAGGGAGTATGATATGTCCGCCATATGTATAATAGTAATAATACAGTAATTACGGAGCTACGGTTATATTTTAACTTGTTTATTAATTACAAGTTTCTTCTATTTAATATAATTAATTCTACTCCGAATTACTCCACACATTCAAGTCAGGGCTTCCTCTCTGGAAACTTAAGCCGCCTGTGGTCGAGTCAAAAGCTGCTAATTAATTACATTTATTTATTAATTAAATGGTTAATTATACTCCCTTCTTCTTCTTCATTTTCTTCTTTTTTTGGCCACCTCGCTCTGCCATGGTACGTTCTGTTCAATAAGGTCTGTATTCTCTTCTTGATGCCATTTTCCATTTTTTCTTTTTTGTTAAGGTAAATTAAATAAACATATGCTCGAGTGCATATATATACTGGCATGGGTAAAACTGTAAAAGTGTAAAAACCCTCATTTCTTTGTGCTGTGGGTGAATGTAAAACCCCGCGTTTTATGTTCAAGATCATATTAGTGACGACGTAATTATTTTTTTATCCACATCTATCATGTCTAAAGTTCACCTCATTTCTCTTTTATTGCGGATAGAAGTTGTCTTGAGGGTATTTTAGACACTTGAGGTGGGGTAGATATGTTTTACGAATGTGCAAAAAATGAAACCAGAACGTCTTTTAGAGGTAGAGGGGGATACACACATCAACTCTTTATATCCACACCAGGATTATTGTGTGCTGGTTGAGATACAACGGAGTACAATTAAGGTATACTTTTTGGTGTACTCCTAACATTTTTTCAACGGAAAGAACTTTTCTATAAATATTTAATAGGGGATAAAATTGGGCACATTTTGATTTCCCAGTAGATTATACACTCGGTTCTCTTGAAAATGAGCATTACTACACCTTGCAACCAAACTTTAATCTTGAGGCTAGGGAGATATACTGTGTTTGGTTTGGCCAAGTCCAAGCATAATTGGTTGGGTGGTTCAACTTGTAGGACTTTTCTTTTTATTTTGGAGTTTGTCAAATAAATCTGCTGTGGAATATATATATATATATATATATATATATATATATATATATATATATATATATATATATATATATATATATATAAAGAAAAGGGACAAGAATATTATTAGTCTTGTGTACGGTTTTGTACCATTTACCCTCCTAGCAACATTTTACACCACACCAAACAGGACCTAAGACATCTTTGAGCAGGACAAAGACTTGCTACCTTTGTTTAAGGTGGCTGACTTGTTGGCTCTTTGAGGTTGTGGTTAATTAGCTTAAATGAGCCCCAAAATGTCTTATATTATCCCTAGGACCCAATGAACCAAGGAGAAAGTTTTGGGGGTAAGTTGCCAAAGTTGCCCCTGCTTTTTTTTATGGGAGTGAACAAACTGAGGGCAAATTTGTCAAAGTGAACCTTAAAATCTCGCACAAATAGAGGCGAACAAATACAATGGGACAACCCAAAACGGGAAACAAGAGAAATGTATGAAGAGAGGAGTATAAAAGAGAGTAATGCTAAAAAGTGATGACCATTAACCAATGCATCCTAGAATTACAGAAATGTCTTTTCTATCAAATATTTATATAGCTAGAATCTAGTCATAAGGACTTGGGCAACATTTAATTTGATTTCTTATTGTAAATTCTGTAATCCTGACCCCCTCTCAAAAGTAAACAAATGCTTGATTCTTCATAATCAACTAATTCTGAGCCATTTTAATCAAAGCCAAATGAGCCCTTTAGTCTGCAAAAGATTAAAATTTCACTGAAATTCCTGCACAAATATGATAATCTATGTATGCATTCATATTGTCACAAGTTTAGATGTCTCTTTCATGTCATTTTGTTCATGTTTTAGGTTTAAAATTTCGACCATTTTACCACTGTTCAATAGGAACCAGCTTTAGTGCATTTAAAGATTCTAAATTTCTGATGTGTTTTTTTTCAATCACAGGAAAAGATGCGAATACTTCTGTATGTACAAAAGGCTGCATTGCACTTCATTGATGGTATGGTGTTGTTTCCCCACCTTTTGACATAAGGTGTAGTTTGGTAGGGCGTAATTAAAACCAATGTAACCCCATAGTTTCATTACACCTTACCAAACTTGACCTTACCAGTCCTCACATTACCAAAAGTCTAACAGTTTGATGTGTTCTGCCATAGTACAGCAGCCAAGCAATATGATCAGCCAAGCATTACAGAAGAGGTGAGGCAGGCGGGTTTCCACATTGACCCGGAAGAGCTTGCTTCCATTGTCCGTTCCCACGACTCAAAACGCTTGGAGTTGCATGGAGGATTGAGAGGTTTGGAACAAAAGTTATCTCTTTCTCTTGAAAGCGGCGTTCCCCTGAGTGAGATCACGAAAAGGCAAAATATTTTCGGGTTGAACAGATTTGTTGAGAAAACTTCTAGATCTTTCTGGAGCTTCATATGGGACGCCCTACAAGATCTTACTCTCATCATCCTCATGGTTTGTGCTGTAGTCTCTATATCCATTGGAATCGCCACTGAGGGGTGGCCAAGAGGGGTTTATGATGGGGTGGGGATACTTCTTTGCATTCTCTTGGTGGTTTTGGTCACTGCAGTCAGTGACTATAGGCAGTCGCTGCAGTTCAAGGACTTGGATCAAGAAAAGAAGAACATCAAGATTCACGTAACCCGAAATGGGAAAAGAGAAAAAGTTTCCATCTATGATTTAGTGGTAGGGGATGTAGTCCACCTGTCCATTGGAGATGTAGTCCCTGCAGATGGGCTGTTCATATCAGGCCACTGCAGCTTATCCATTGATGAATCCAGCTTGTCAGGGGAGAGCGAACCGGTTAATGTGGAAGAAAAAAACCCATTTCTTCTATCAGGGACGAAAGTACAAGATGGGTCAGGAAAAATGGTCGTGACAGCTGTTGGGATGAGAACAGAGTGGGGGAGATTGATGGTTACCTTGAGTGAAACCGAAGACGAAGAGACACCATTGCAGGTAAAACTGAACGGTGTGGCCACGATTATAGGGAAGATCGGTTTGGCTTTTGCTCTCTTGACTTTCTTGGTTCTCACAGGAAGGTACATATCAGTAAAGGCAAGGGAAGGTGAAATCACAAAATGGTCAGGAACTGACGCGCTGAGTCTCATGAATTTCTTTGCCATTGCAGTGACCATTCTTGTCGTTGCTGTTCCGGAAGGATTGCCATTGGCAGTGACATTAAGCTTGGCTTTTGCAATGAAGAAATTGATGAACGACCGGGCTTTAGTTAGGCATCTCTCTGCTTGTGAGACAATGGGTTCTGTCACCTGCATTTGCACAGACAAAACAGGAACGTTAACCACAAACCACATGGTAGTTACTAAATTATGGGTATCTGGAGAAACCAAGTCACTAAATCAGATTAGTGATCCGAGAAGCTCCATGAAGTCTTCATTATCGGAGAAGGCATTGACAGTTCTTTTGCATTCCATATTTCAAAATACGGGCGCAGAAGTCGTGAGGGATAAAGACGGAAAGAATAACATAATCGGCTCTCCAACAGAGACAGCATTGTTAGAGTTTGGTTTGACACTTCAAGGAGATTTCCATTCAAAAAGCAAGGAATTGAAAATTGTGAAACTCGAACCTTTCAATTCAGTGAAAAAGAAAATGTCTGTTCTTGTGGCTCTTCCTGGGGGTGGTGGGCATCAGGCATTTTGTAAGGGAGCATCAGAAATCATATTGAGAAATTGCAATAAAGTTCTTGACAAAGACGGGCAGTCTATGGCCCTAACTGATGAACAGAGGAATAATATCTCCAATGTTATAAACACATTTGCTTGTGAAGCTTTAAGAACACTTTGTTTGGCTTTTCAAGATGTGGAAAGCGATTCTAGTATTCCAGAAAATGATTATACACTGGTAGCTGTCATTGGAATCAAAGATCCGGTCCGGGCTGGTGTGAAAGAATCTGTTGAGACTTGTTTGGCTGCAGGAATCAAAGTGAGAATGGTGACAGGTGATAACATCAATACTGCCAAGGCCATAGCCAAAGAATGTGGCATACTGACTGAAGATGGTATAGCCATTGAAGGCCCTGATTTTCGCGAAAAAAGCCCTCAGGAGATGAAGGAGATAATGCCAAAGTTGCAGGTTCATCATCACACCAACTAACAAACTCAAGAGCGCGTTTGGTTACCTCTATGAAAAATCAAATTCCCTATTTTCACTTTCTATGGAAAGTGAGACTTTCCATAGTGACCAACCGCGCGCTGTTAGAGAATCATTCAATTAACTGCCTCAAAGAAGCATCCATCTCTGAAGATCTCTTGTTTTGCAGGTGATGGCTAGATCACTGCCACTGGACAAACACAAATTAGTGACTATGTTGAGAAAGGATTTCCAAGAAGTGGTGGCTGTGACTGGTGATGGCACTAATGATGCTCCTGCTTTGCATGAAGCCGACATCGGATTAGCCATGGGCATAGCAGGAACAGAGGTCATCACTCTATATTAAAAATAAAATATCTCCACTTCTTTTTTGTTCTGCAATTATTACAGCCAAAGGTTCTAGTGCCTCCAAATCCTAGCTGTTTTCCCAATAATTTTAAGGATGTGCATTGTAGGTTGCCAAAGAAAGCGCTGATGTTGTGATAATGGATGATAACTTCACAACTATACTGAATGTAGCAAAATGGGGTCGCTCGGTCTACATTAACATCCAGAAGTTTGTTCAGTTCCAGTTGACAGTAAATGTTGTCGCTCTCATGACAAACTTTGTTTCTGCTTGTATTTCAGGCAAGTGAACCATGCGGGGTGGGGCCGTGGGAGTGGGGGGCTAAGGGGTGAAGTACCTTATGCCATCGTCGCTCTGACGATTTACTTTTTAACTCTGTGATCTCAGGCTCAGCACCCCTCACAGCAGTTCAGCTGCTATGGGTGAATATGATAATGGACACCCTGGGAGCTTTAGCACTAGCAACAGAACCTCCAAACGATGAACTTCTGAATCGGCCACCCATTGGAAGGACAGTCAATTTCATCACAAGGATCATGTGGAGGAACATTATAGGTCAAAGCATCTATCAACTGGCAATCCTTGGTCTCCTCAAGTTCAACGGCAAGTATCTCCTACATCTTGAGGGCCCATTTTCTACTGCAACTCTTGACACCATGATTTTCAACACCTTTGTCTTCTGCCAGGTTGGTTTCTCTGTTCTTGAACTTCTTTTAACCAAGCCCCCAACTCTTTGAGCAATTTGTGGTCGTTTGGTAGCCAATTTTTCCAGCTTAGCAAATACCCTTTCAAGTATCAACTACTCTCTCCATTCCATAAAAATTCATGTTTCATTGTTGTACATTGTTTTAATTTTTAGTAAGGTAGAACTATTAGAAATCATCAATTATAGCTTTATTCCATAACAACAACCCAGTTGGATCCCACGAGAGTAGGGTTTGGATCTGGGGAGGGTGTGTGTATGCAAACCTTACCCCTACTCGAAAGTAGAGAGGTTGTTTCCAAAGAGACCCCCGGCTCAGCGTTGAAAGTTGCATTGATTGACTAACTGCTACTTCATTGATTAAAGAAGCGCAGTCAGTAAAGAGATCCATTTTGCTTTATTCCATCACACCCAAAGCCAAAAAATAGTGAATGTTGATTTAACTAAATTTGGAACTCTACTTGGACAAAATGAGAAATTTCATAGTACTCGTTTTTTTAGACGGATGGAGTTCATTTTTACCAAACACTAACTTATTTCATTACCTAGGTTGAACTGGTTAGTGGAAAAAAATAGTATCTAGACATTTCGTTTAGTTATAAGGTTGAGTTGATCATTTTGGCCTCTTTTTTAAAATATATTTTTCTTTGCTTGATCAAGAAAATAAGTTCAATTTATTCATAATGTAGACATTTGGACAAATTCCTCAAGAGCAGCCACAACTTCAATAATTTTAATGATTTCAAGTTTTCAACCAAAATCACTCTCACCAAACCGGCTTGGTTATTTTCTTGGAATTCTTTAAAATGTCAGGTATTCAATGAAATAAACAGCAGGGATATGGAGAAGATAAATATTTTCAGAGGCATGTTTGGGAGTGGGATATTCATGGGGATCATACTCTCCACAGTGGCATTTCAGGTTATAATAGTGGAATTCTTGGGGGCAGTTGCAGACACAGTGCCATTGAGTTGGAACTTATGGTTAGCCAGCATACTGATGGGAGCAGCGAGCTTGATCGTCGGGGCCGTCCTCAAATGCATTCCTGTTACACTAACCAAGGACAGTCAAACAGTCAAGAGCCATGATGGTTATGAAAAACTCCCATCTGGACCAGACTTAGCTTAAAGATTAGTTAGAACAGCTGCAAAGCTTTGCTCCTTACCAAATTATACAGGATGTAGCCAAGAAAATTCATTTGCTAGCTAACTCTAGATATAAGGTTATTTTTCCATTACATTATTGAGCTTTGAGACTCCCCTAGCAATTAGTGTTTGCCTGTTCCACTTGATTTACAGTAAAAACTTAACACTAGTGTGTGTAAGTTGGACATGGCAACTCCTTATTGATCACAGATTTCATTTATTGAACTATTGATGTAATTGGCCCTGTTTGGAAACCAACTATTAGTTGTAAATTTTTATGATAGTTGTTTGTGTCATTTGTTTTAAAAAGCTTGACAAACAAACTTTCTGTAAGCCAGCCTTGTAGGTGCTCCAAAAAAACCTTTGAACAGCTGCTAGAGAAAGCCTGAAAAACATATGTTTTTTGGACCAAATTACTTGTTGCATACACTTCTACCCCTGTCTTTTAGCTCAAAAGCTTTATACACAAAAAGGTCCCCAAAAAGCTACTTGTCAAATAAGTTCACATAAGTTTCTGAACAAGTTCAAATAAGTCAATGTTATGTCCTACAACAACAACAATAACCCAGTTGAATCCCACAAGAGTAGGGTATAGGGAGGGTGTGTATACGCAGACCTTACCCCTACTGGAAAGTAGAGAGGCTGTTTCCAAAGAGACCCCCGGCTCAGCGTCAAAAGTTGCATTGTTTGACTAACTGCTACTTCAATAATTAAAAAAGAGCAGACAGTTTAGAGATCCATTTTGCTTTATTCTATCACACCCCAAAGCCAAAAAATAGTGAATTTTTGGCTCCATTAGAGTTCCTCAATGTTACATCCTAAAAAGTCGATAATTCAACATAATAGGAGGCGCAACTCAATGTCGTATATGTTAGCACAATAAGGAACTTAACACACACTACATTAGCTCAAAAACATTATGCACCAGAGTACTTTGTAAATGCAAAGTCAGTTGCCACAATTGTACTGTGTTAACCCACATGAACATGAACAATAACAAATTATTTTCACAAACATATGGCCAGAACGACCAACCTGTTTCAGAAACTGACAAAGGTTAATCAGATCTAAAGAAAATTGGCAATTCCACACATCAACTAAGCTGAAGAGTTGTCTTGCTTTCTTACAAACAGCTTGTTTATGTCTTCTGTGACGACATTGCTCCTGAAAATATCCACGCGAAGTTTTAGTAAATCATTACATTCAGAATACTAAAAGTAGACATGGATTGGGATTAGCTTCATTCTTCACAATTACTGTAAACCAAAGGTAGAGCAACATTAAAGCTTCTGGCCAAGTAGGGGAAGTGTAGAAAATGTATTTGCTTTTAAGTGGGTATGTGACATAAACATTTCTCACACTTTCTGAAAAATGTATTGTCATGAACCTCCAACGGCAATAAGGCAACAATGCTAAATACAAACTTTTACTACAAGACAGTGAAAGAACTATGATACGTTTATAGCTTTCATCCATTTACAAAACAAAAGAGGGTAAATACAGGAAGATAGTCACTTTTAGTGACAATGAGATTTTCCCCAGTGGAAATAAGTAAAGTTTCCTTCAAACTTTTACTACAAGCTTAATTGACATGCCAAAGAAACATCAAGTCATATTTGCATCAAATCAAGGTTCTACACACTTCCTCACAACTGTCACACTAATTTGTGAAATACCGAAATGGCTACACTTAGTGTCTTTGAATGATTGTATCTCCTATTCTCCCTCATGCCACCCTCCCATATCCTCACCACAGCTCTCTGAACACTGAACCACTGTGCCAAAAACATTGTCTATGCCCCACTCCTGACTCCCCCATAACAAAAATAGACTCTGCTTTTAGAGAGGTAAGGTTGCGTACATATGAGGATTATACAGTTGTTGGTTTACTATAGTAGATTGATAAAGTATTGAAATTCAACCCTTTTTTTATTCAGTTTCTGATGCTGCTATCTATTATTTCCTGTCACTATTACTGCCATTCCCGCCAGTAGGCCACCGCCTATTTTGTTTAGCCTAGTAAGTGTTACTGATTTTCCTTCTCGAATTTGTTTCACTTTGATGGTTTCAATCGGTGTATAGTTTTAGTTGTTTGTGCACTAACTTTTATTGATTGTAAATATTCAATTAAAAAAGTATGAGCTTTAATTCCATATTTCCATTCTACTGGTAGAATATCTGAAGAACTCCATTGGTAAACCAAATACTGCACAAACTCTTAAAAAGTTGATAGACATACAAAATACAACTCCAGAAAATATGCTCCTAGTGGTAGACAACTTAAAAACAACAGTTACTCCCTCCACTCATACTTAGGTGCCCACCGTTTTAAAAATTTATGGTCCTTTGTATCTGTCCAATTGGTAAAGATATGCGGCACGGTATTGATTATTTTTCCCAGTGTTAGCATTTAGACTTTATTACTCTTAATCTTATTTCTAGCAGTTTACAAAATCATAAATAAGGGAGTATAATCATAGGACATATATAGCACAGTAAAATCATCAATCATTACTAATGCTCTAAGAAATAATAGCGGCTATTTCACTAGTAGATACTCAAACTTACCTTCCAGAAAGTTGAGGTGGGAGTAGAAGACCACTTCCGGTGTCAGGAAAATTCTTTGTGTGCGGCAATGAACCTCTTGGAACTTTGCTGCGTGGATAGCTGCTTGATACTGGTCCATTTAAGTCTCTCTTCCTTGCGTTTTCGGCCATTGCCGTTGCCACTCGAAAAGAATGGTCAGATGAATGTTCAAGATGAGATGGCAATGAAGGTGAATTCAAGAGAAATGAAGCATCTGGAAGTTTCAACTCAGATGATTGTGACGGGTGGGAAGATTCCAATGGTTGCTTCTTTGAAGACGGCTCTTCTCCTCTACATGAGCAAACAAAAGTAACCATAGAAATGAGAGGATGAGAACAGTATCAAATAAAGAGTATAAGAATATGCATTGCCCTATTCTTGAGATGCTGCAATTGCACATCTTGACAAGACTGTAGTCCCTGGAAGTTAATCACACTAGGAATCTTAGCAGCATGAATTAAAAAAATCACAACTTCCCCCCAAACAGAGAAGAAAAAAAACATCTTCTGTGGGGAACACTATTCACTTATACGCAACAAGCCTGTTTTTTTAATATCATTGTTGAACCACGTAAAACAGCTCATTTCATTGATTGGTAATGCGCCCATTAAATTAGCTAAAATGTCAGAAAATGCTCAATTTCAAAAAGCTTACTTGGGATGCTTTTTGAGGAACACTTTTGGGAAAGTATGTTATCTTACATTTGCTAAATCCAGTCCTCTCTTTGCTATATCCACCCCATTTATGACAAAGGTCCAATTATACCCTTTAATTAGTCCACATGTTGCCTTTCCTTGTTTTCACACTTGTAAGGATAAATTTGTCCATTCTTCACAAAAGGTGTGGATATAGCAAAAAAAAGGTGGATTTAGCAACACCCCTTGTACACTTTAGAAAAATGGAACACTAAGGTTTACAAGTAAAACCTACTGCAAACTGCTAATTTGTAACTTCCAAACAGGGCATATTTCATGATTTAATCCACTTCTTATTGAAGAACAGAAAGTACCAGAATAGAGCAAACAACAAATTCTCTCCCAACTCCACCACTCATCTTCCCCCAAATTGTAAGTACCACAACCAACATCTCAGCTCAATAATTTGAAAAAGGAAGCAACAATAAAACCCATAAATAATAAGAAATCATGAGATACTAAAAAAAATGATCATGTAATAATGATACAGACAGAGAGCATAAAACCCTAGCTAAGTTCACAAGGAAGATTTATGAACAGAATGATTGGAAATTCCTTCAAGAGATGGGTGGGTATTACTTTTTCTGAAGCTGAGGAGCAGGTGGGTCTTGGCTTGGAGCAACCTTAGTTTGTAAGGCGACTGATTTCACTTGTTTTTTCTGATTTTGTTCCTGCGATGGCTCCTCTTGAAGCTCTGTTTCTTCTTCATCGGAATCTGAAGATTCGTAATCCACCAGTGACATCTCTCTTTCCCTTCAACGACAACTCGCCCGATTATCTTCTTGTGTTTCCCTGCTCGATTGCCCGCTTCTCCTACAAGAACAGGCCAATTTTACTATGGAGTCCTATATTACTATATACTACCTCTCAAATATATATTTTATATTAATTAGAAAAAATAATATTTTGAAAATATTTTATATAATAAATATTAAAAAAATTATTATTTTATCAATATCTAATATTATTTTTTATTAAATTTGAAATCAAAATTTACCATTTTGATCGAAAAAGGTAAAAAAAGATACAAATATTCCGAGATGGAGAGAGTATTTATTTAAGAATAAAGTTATGGAATTATCTCCAGTTAGTGAAGGAAGTCGGTTGGGAGCTACTCGGGCCAGTTGTACACGTCCCCGTTGGAATGTCATAAGCCTCGAACTCCATATCTGAAAAACTAAAAGGAATTGATTAATTATGAATAAACGGACCGCTACGAAATCGAAAGAGCGAATTAAAAAGAATGAAGTCAAACCTGAGCGAGGACGGCACCCAGCGTCTGTAGTGTTGCCCGGGGAGGATTCCCCGCGCCCCCTGCTTCATGAACCGACGAGGTACCCTCACCACCCAGTTAGCTCGGCGCACCAGCTCCCAAAGGAAAACTTCTCCCCGTATTGGGAATCACCATGCAAAAGCCTTTCGCATGACTCTTCCAACTGCAGTGTGGTGGCCGGATGGGCATTTTCATTGTTCAACAGGTGGTCATTCCATCGCAGACCGGCCAGAGGAAAATCGACTTACAGGAAGTCGATGAAGACAAAATGAGATTTCCACCCCCCGTTGCTTTGGGGTAGATCGGAAATGAATGCCCTATTTTACTGAGATTTAAAGAAAACAAATCTCTCACACTTGGCCTTCCCGGGGAGGATCTTGTACATAACAACAAAGAGAGATAAAGACTAACTTATTTGTAGAAATTCACAGATATTTACAAAACAATTCAGCAACCGGTGGGCGTTTGGGGTTATTTGTCTGGGAAGAATAGAAAAAATGGGCCCTGACTATGTGGGGGCGAAGAGGAAAACATGTGTCACCCTCCAAAGATTTAATATGAAACCCTACCCTAGTACCCCGGTGAGGGTCGATGATATTGGGCCCGTTGGGTCATACTCAAAAGTATAACCCTTAAAAAGAAACTGGCGTACTTTATTAAGGGCGATCTTTGAAACACTCGGCGGATTTATCTAACATTATCGATAGGGAGGGGAGAAAAATTGGCTTCCCATAGGTGGTGCTCCCATTCCTCATAGGTCTCATTTTCTGGGTCGAAGGGACATAGTTCCTGGCTAATGGGCTCAGGATTCAGAATAGGAACACCCTCTAGGATCAGTTCTTCCCGGGTTGGAGATGAAGAGTAAGAAAAAGGGGAGGACAGGACGAACTCCTCGAATGCAAGTGCATATGAGGTGGTAGAAACGTTTTGACTATCCTCAGAAGACATGATTGGGATTTGAAAGAAAGAGAAGAGTCGGGAAACTTACTTGGAAGATTGAAGACTCGGAGGGCTGAAAAGAACTCTAATCGGGTGGGAATCGAGAGTGGATTCACGAAAAGTGAGTCAAGGAAGAGGGGAGAACCCTTTATATAGGCAAGGAGGCGGAAGATAGCACGACGCGTGGCAGATTGCGAAGGCGACGCGTCAGGTGGCGCAATCATGGCATATGGGAAGATGAAAAGACGGGTGCAGAATGTAATTATTGCGTACATGGAGGTTCGACACGTGTCAAAAGTCCAAAATTTGAATTTGAAATTCAAAAATCTGGGCGGGAAAGGCTTAAAATTCAAATTTCAAGCACCAAATTCCAATTTTTCACTTCCTGTCCTTGAATAAATTTTGCAAGGCTGAAAAGTGGAGGGTTTATTGATGGGTTCATTCCACCTTGGACCCGGTTTGAATTTGGGTCTACAGCCGTTGACCAGTCACACGCAAGAATATCAAATGGAAGATTTAGACGAAAATATGGCCGACCGGTCGAACTCAAGAAATGGACCGGTACGATATGTAGGCTTACTAGTTAAAGTACATGACTTCGTGCAGGCAGTCTTCTATCCCTTCAAAATGCATGACCGGTGAACCTATTGGGTAGGTTGCTATGTTGTGAAAGTGTCGGCATGAATAGCTCCAATGGTGGTTGGACAGTAGCGACCAATTTCAACGAAAGATTGCAGGAATATTCCAACATTCTCCTCTGAGCACTACGCCCCAAAGAAGTGTTATCAGCACAAAATGATAAGGGAATAGGACAAAACACTACACAACAAGAGGAAGACACCTCGCACTGTCTAGGAACGTGGGCTGATGTGGACACGCGGCGCCTTGTCCCCCCAGCTTCTTATAAATAATGAATGGATCCAAACTTTATCTATATAGCAGTTGCGGATGCACTCGAATGGAATTGGGGGCATATGCCCCCTATTAATGTTTTGTAATAATGTAAAACAAAATAATTTTTTTAATTTTATGTATATATGCCCTCAACAAAAATTAATGCGACCCCACCTAATTAAGCTAAATTTAAACCTTTTGTTAATTTTTTTAGTAAAGTATATTTTATTGAATATAATTAATTATTTACGAATTCAAATTTCACAATACCTATTTAAAAATGTTTTACATTCAATACATGTTAGAAAAAAAATCATTACTTTTTTGTCATTTCATATGCCTTATTTTAAAAAAATCTGGGGACGCTGCCCCCCGGATCCCCAATCAATGATGCCTCCATGTAGTTCAATTACTGGATCCGCCACTGCTCTATAGGGTTCATATTGCAATAGTACCCTGTATAATTCCAACTTCAATACTTAAAAACAATTAGGTTACACGTGTTTCCACCTACAGTCCTACTAGTCATTCATTGTGATGGTGTAAAACCGTGCAAATACTAAGTACGAATATGTGAAAGGGCTGTAGGTGGGAACACATGTAACCCGGTTTGTTATTAATGATAATGGGACCGTTTATTACAAACTTACAAGCCGTGTAGATTAATTAAAGCATGTCTTTCTAATGAGGCTTTTACTCCTATTTATAAGAACAAACAAGCACGCCAAGCATGTCCCAACGTTAATGTTCTTCCGGTCGGTCCGTCTTCAACCGGTAAGTTTGTGTGCCTTAGTCAGACGAAGTCATGCTCTCAATTCTGAACCCTTCCATACCCGACCGGTCAGACGACCCGGGTTGACCAAGTCATGAGGCGTCAAACCTAGGTACCTCCCAGCCGGTTGCGAACCTTCCGGGTGAAATCAATGGGTTTATACCCATCACATTGTTTTCTCCGCATTCCATTTTCTAAGCTCAACAGACTATCCTAAACTCGGTCTAGTACAGTTTGCCCAGGTGATTAATTTACACCATCAACACGTAAAATTATTTTATGTGATGGACCTTGTAAAATTAAGAAAATCCAACTCTGGGCTCCTTAAGAATATGTGAGAAGATCTATATCTTAAGTATGAACCTAAGTAAAAAAAATAATCATTGAAGAAGATGATAAGGTGAAGAAACCTAAGCAATTTGCAAGAAGAAAACCTAGTTGCCAGGAAGAGAACTGGAACCCTGATTTGTTGCCTTAAAACATCAACCAAGCTAAATATATATGTTTGTGAAAAAATGATCTAAAAATTTCAACAAATTAAATGCACACCCTTTAACTGAAAGAGTATATATGGAGTGGCCAACAAACATTTATGAGATTTTAAATGCTCCAAAAGTATTCTTATGTAAATACTCCCTTCGTCTTAAAACGTTCTTCTCGTTTATGTTTACGAGGTTTGAACGACTTTATTTTCAATTCAATTTATTTGATTATAGGTGTAAATTTAAATATTAAAAATTTATATATTTAAAAACTACATCAAAAGTTCTACAAAATGAGATGTGACAAGACTATACTATTTTATAAAAAAAACGAACAAAAATTGATAAAGAAAGTGATTAAAGTTTGATCATATGAATAGTAACTGGAAAGAACGTTTTAAGACGGATGGAGTATTAATTACGAAGTATTTGCACTTTTCGTATAATACTTATTTTCATTATAACATTAATGTTTTTTATCTAAATATATAAAATGCAAGCATGAATTTTTAACATTAATAAAACTTCATATTATGATTAAATATTGGTGTTTATATTTTTATTAGTTTTTTAAACTTGATAATATGGTTAAAAATGTTCGATAGTTAATGTAAAATAACATAAATCGATTGATCAATTATTTCTATTTATATTTCTATGATTTTTTTACATATCACATATATATACTCATATACATAAAACGAACTACGTAGTAAAGTTTTGTTTATTCAGTTTAATTTATTCGGTTCAATTTGATTTTTCGGAGTGAAAACCAAAACAAAAACGAAACAACAACGCCCGTTCGCTTCGATTTTTTTATATTAGCTTTTGATTTTTTCAAATGCGATTTCTTTAGATTATTTCGATTTTGATTCGGTTTACCAAATCTTTATTTTTCAAACTCAGCCATACGAAGATCCACCACAAGAAGAAATTAGTGACGGTAAATCACCGCTAGGGTAAGGTAAAAATAAACTGAATTCACCTGAGAGATGTACAAAAGTGAGTCGTCTGACTTGAACTCTTTCGTTTAGCTTTAATGAATTGAAAGAATAATGCTACTTGAAATATGGAGAAAATGATTGATTTGTTAAAGCAAATTAAATCTCCCAAAATCAAGACCTAAAAAGTAAAGATATACTCTATTTTTTGCAAAAATTAACACTAATAATAATAACAATAATTATAGTAATAAATAATAATAATAATAATAATAATAATAATAATAATAAATGATGTACGAAGTAGTCCTTTATATATATAAAGAAGACTCCATTCTCTAAGAATTTGCCCCCCAATTTTTAAAGTTTAACTTTTTGACATGTCAACGCGCCACATGTCAGTCCAAGAAATATCAAAAAAAGGAATTTCCAAAGAAAACTACTAAGGTATGAAATTTCTAGAGGCTCTCATAGGAATGAGTACATGTACAAGGCCACGTTATAACCATATTACCACATTGTGAAGTCTTATTTTGGGGAAAAAACG